CATGCGATGCTCGATCTGACACATCCTGGCCGACTACCCATCCCATCATGCACAGAGCCTTGCTGTCGTGGTTAATGGAGGCTCCATCTGGACATCGACCGACGCGGGCGCCACCTGGACGGAGCAAACCGCCGCTGGTTCCCGTGATTGGCGGTCGATCGCGTCTTCGTCGGATGGCACGGTACGTGGTTGGATGCAGGCCATGACACAAGGGGCACGATATCCCTGTCCTCGATGGTGGTCCCATCGTGTGTGCATATCTCGTCAAGGGTCGCCATGCGATGCCCGATTTGACGCATCCTGGTTGACTACCCATCCCATCATGCACAGAGCCTTGCCGCCGTGGTGTATGGTGCCTCTATCGTATACGTCGACCGACGCGGGCGTGTCCTGGACGGAGCAAACCGCCGCTGGTTTCAGTAACTGGAAATTGATTGCGTCCTCGTCGGATGGCACGGTACGTGTTTTGGATGCAGGCCGTTTTACAGTGTGCGCGATGCCGCTGTCCTCGATGGTGGGTGCATCGTCTGTGCATGTCTGGTGAAGGGTCACCATACGATGCTCCATCTGACGCATCCTGGTCGACTACATATCCCATCATGCACAGAGACTTGCCGCCGTTGCGGACCCAGGCTCCATCTGGACCTTCGGGTAGGTGTGTGCAATTGGCTGGGGGAGAATTAGGAAACCACGTACTTTCACACCTCTCCCCGCCTGGCCCTAGTCTTGCTACAAGGCTAAATGAGTTGAATCATCGAGTAGTCCTTAAGCCACCAGTCGGCGTCCAACTAGGGTCAGAGTTAAACAACCGACAACTTTCACATCTCTCAAAGAGAGAATTGAAGAATTGTGAGAAAAACATCAGATTTAAAGGAAGCTTTAAAGAAAGAGCAACGATTTTTCCTGGACAAGGATCAGAGACTATGGCCTTTCAAGCACTTCTCAGGGAAATGTGATACTACGGACAATTTTTTTAGGGACAATGACTCTGGAACAAGATGAAGGAAGTGGGCCCTTCTATGCTTTAGAGAAAGAGATATGATACTGATTTACAGGGAGCCTACAATCGAGTGACAATTTTTCCCCTTTATTTATATGATTCTATAAGTTTTGAGATATGTTGCAATAAATTATGGATGAGCTGAAAACAAGGAGCTTTCCAGCTTGTAAGTATAGACACAGAGCCTGATTTTGAAATGACGGCGATAATTCCGTTAGGGTTAAATTATTCAGGGACAATGACTCTGTAGCAAGAAGAAGGGAGTGGGCCCTTCTATGCTTTAGAGAAAGAGACTGCTATTATTATCACACTATACGGGGAGTCTGGTTCAGCGAGAAAAAATGATGGGCTTTTTATCTGCCTTATGGGGCTAAACTGATGTAATGCTCGAAGTCCTCTGGGATTCTAAATGTTATAAGCAAATCGAAAGCATATTTACCGTTTTCCCTCTATGAGTATGGAGAGTTGATATTTTAAAGAAGCTTAGAAAGAGGACGGTTTCCTACAGGGGATGCCATTGCCTTCCCCAAAGATAGTAACATGCGAAGAAACGTGCTGGACTCCTTCCCAAATCATGTTCTGAAATGGCCATTTAACAAAGTATTGAGGTAATTGAGCAGTTAGATATCAAGTTGGCCTGGCACGACCAAAAGAAAAATAAGGGTTTACATATCCCTTCATTCAGGCAAACATTTCGTCCATTGCTTCCATATTCTTTGTCTCCATGCTGCGGGAGGTCATGTCCTCTCTTCATTGTGAGCAATTCACAATACTTCGACTTTAATCATTTTTGAATCCCTGCTAGCAACCGACCAGGAGCTCTCGAAGCACAAAGCTCACGCCAACACCGTGGACAAAAACGGACTCATACCTCTTCATCGGGCCACCTACCGGTGAGGACTCAGGGCAGCAAAGGCAGGTAATGCGAGCAGCCTTCCTCCTCTCATGACGGTGACATGCCGTGGGTTAAACAGAATGGCGAGAGGCGCCTTTCGTTGAGATTCCACGTCGTGTTTGATTGACGTGTGATCTCTGTCGCTCTCTTGTCGTTCACGCCATCGCCAACATGATTCTTACCAAGTCAAAATTAATGGAAATATAGCAAAAGTAGGCTGACGTGCACACAAGCTCACACGGCCCCTAAAGAAAGGACGAGAATTATGCTCATGCGGAGACCTGGTCCCATCAATACGAGCTTGGTGACGAGATTTCTACAATCGTGGATGATATGTACTTTGCAGGTACGCCAGTCCTGGTTCGTTTGTATGGCACATGTTACTGATTTACAGGGAGCCTAAAATTTGGTGACAGCTTTTCCCCCTTTATTTACATCATTCTGTAAGTTTTGAGATGTGTTGCAATAAAGTATGGAGGAA